TATGTATTTGTATCAATGGGTTCAAACTTAACAACTAAACATACCATTTTGAAGCTTGATTTCTTTTTCACTTAATCTTTCTTTACCACTACACACTGAGTTATCTCATTCATTTTAATGTCTACACAAATTTCTATGGTTTGAATCTACCTATTTAGTACTTAACCACTCCTCTACTGAAGGGTCTTTTTCTTCTTTAATTCCAAACAATGCTCCAATGATATGTGTGTGTGTGTGCATGTGCACGTAAAATTCTAGAGATATTTTTCTAGTAGTAAAGTATCAAGGTCAAAAGGAATAACAATTAGAGGGCCAATCTGCCCTCTAAAACCATTGTTCCAATGTCCAGGGGGCAATGCCTGTTCCTTCACCAGAAAACTGGTCTTGCTAATCTTTTTCTTCTTTGTTGATAATGCTGGGGAGAAAAAAAAGGTATTTCATTTTGTGTTTCATTACTAGTGAAACTGGGAATTTTTTCATGTTTGTGGCCACTTGTATTTCTTAATCGTCTATCTGTGTCTCACCCTAGCTTCTGTTGAGTTCTTCATCTTTTTCTTATTGATTTGGAAAACTGCTTCATATATTAGTGAGGTTTGGTACTTTGGATATTTTCTTCCAGTTAAAACATGGTTTTAAATGACTGCATGCTTCATCTCAATAGTAATTCCTACTTTGGATATTTTACTTGTTTTTATTTCCTCCTTGTTATAAACAACACCATAATGAATATCTTTTGTGGACATGCATTTTTTTTTTTTAGGAAAATTTGTCAGAAGTGAGATTTATTAGGTCAAAGGTATACACTTTTGTTACTAAGATCCAAAGGTTAAGGATCTTAGTACATATGTACAAAATATCCTCCCGCAAGATGGTGACACTTCACACACTCTTGCCAATAGCATGAGTGCCATTTCTTCATGTACTTGATAAGATCAAGTGTATCATTTTTTATCTTGGCCAGGGTGATAGGTGTATTAGTTTCCTAGGTCTGCTGCAACAGATTAGCACAAACTGAGCAGCTGAAAACAACAAAAACCTATTCTCTCTCTCTCTTTTAAAATACTTAATTTATTTATTTTTAGAGAGAGGAGGAAGGGAGAAAGAGAGGGCGAGAAACATTGGTGTGTGAAACATCTATTGGTTGCCTCTCGCACGTCCCCAACTGGGGTCCTGGCCTGAGACCCAGGCAAGTGCCCTGACTGGGAATCGAACCAGCAACCTTTTGGTCCACAGGCCAGCACTCAATCCACTGAGCCACATCCGCCAAGGCAGAAATCTATTCTCCTAAAATTCTGGAGATTAGACCTCTAAAATCAAGGTTTCTGCAGGGGCCACCCTCCCCCTGAAGTTTTTAGGGAAGGATCCCTCCTTGCCTCTTTCCTTGCTTCTGGTGGTTGCTGGCGATTTTCGGCATTCTGGAGTCTGTGACAGCGTAACTCCAAACTCTGTCTCTGTCTTCATGTGGGCTTCTTCCCTGTGTGTCCTATCATGGCCTTCTTAACAGGACATCAGTTACTGGATTTAAGGCCCACCCCAATCCAGTATGACCTCATTTTAATTTAACTAATTATAGCTGCAAAGACCCTCTTTCCCAATAAGGTCAACTTCTGAGGTTCCAGGTGGACATGAATTTGGGGGGACACTATTTAATCCCATGCAATAGGTAAAACAGGTTTTATTATTTTAACCTTCAGTTCTTATCACAAAGAAACATACTCACACACACAATAGCCCAGAAATACTGAGGACAAATAATGGGACACCTTTAGTATAGCCTGGCTTATGGGTACACTTGCTTGCTGGTTGGACTGAGTCAGAATGTGCCCCACCTGAGGCAGGTGACCTGCTAGGTTCATTCTGACTCTACTGCCCTGTGCAGGTACTGTAGAATAAGAGCGTAACTCTGCAACAATGTTCCCTGCTTTATTGTTTTTTTTACCAGCACATTGCCCTCAAATCATTGGGAAAGTACAGTCAGCGACAATTTTCAATTCCAGGGTTATCCTCTATTTGATGCTGAAACCATTCCTAAAAGTCTTAGAATAGTCTTTACTTTATCTTGGGCCTTGATTCAACCCCCAGGATTGTACAACCTATGGCAGACCTGGGCTTAACCGTTATGCAAGATAGGCCTCAGGCAGGACAAATGGTAATTCCTGAGGTCTCTCCTTCCTCTGCATGTTTCCTGTCCTGACTCTTCCATCAGTAGTCCTGAATCACGGCAGGGCACTGGGTGAAAGGTGGCAGGCAAGTCACTATCTTCCCAGGCGTTAGAAAACCAAGCTGCTTTATACCTGCTGGGCACTTCCAGTGCTTTCCTCTGCTGCTCCCGAAAATGCCCCACGTTTTCCAAGGTCCCTTACAGACATAAGCTCTAACAAGGAGTGTGACAACAGCCTCCACCGCTGCCTGCCTCTCATCTAATGGCCCCGGAGCACCTCCCCCAACCCCCACCAGGGACAGGGCTTGCTCGCAACCTAGGCATGTGCCCTGACTGGGAATTGAACCAGCGACCCTTCCCCTTGGTGGGAATGATGTCCAACCAATTGAGCCACACCAGGCAGGGCTCTAGTTCATGTTTTCAAAATCAGAATTGTTTGGGAGTTAATGGGAAACCCAAAATAATGGAATCTGCCCTTCAGATGTTTGCAGAGGACTTTGAAGTGGTCTCAAGTATGTGACAAGTGAAGATGAGGTAGAGTTAACAAAGCACCCAATGCAGAGGCAGGTCTCAAGGATAATTTACATTTATTTGCTGATGACTCTGACTAAACATACTTCAAACACAGCAGAAGTTAAAGAGTCTGTCAGGTGAAGCCATTTCATAATAACAGCTAAGAGCGGTCCATGGAGAGTGATGTGTGCATCTTCTCAGGCTGAGGCCGTGGCTCTGGGCAAACAGCTGGTGGGTGGACCTGGTCCTTCTGGCCTTCATGGGAGCCTCCGAGGATCTAGTTCTCATACTTGTGCTTGATGTGTTTCCACAGCTTCTGCATTTTAAAGACAAAAGCCACAAACTTTTAGTTTTGCCTCTCACATTTTACAACTATATTCCCACTACTCTGGTCTCTACAACAAGCCTGAAACTCTTACCATGTCCTGACAGTTGCAGTGGGCAAACTGCAACACCAGGCTTGCCACACATTCTCGAATGTTTATAAAATGCTCTGATGCTCTCGATCACCATGTGAAGTAAGTGGGAAGCAATACTACTACTTTTACAGGAAACTGTAAAGGAGTCGGCCTTTACAGTTGAGAGATTGAGAAACTGGCCCAACAGCACACAATTAGTAAGGAACACAGCCTGAAAGATGACTCATTTCTTCAACTCCCAGGTATTACTTAAGAAGTCCTAAATGCAGCGTCCCCAAATGTTATACTTCACATCGAGCCATTCCTAATTTTCTCAGACCTATGATCCTTGGATCAGGAACTAGCTGGATTCTCATTCTTAAGAGCAGAGATGACAACATACTCAGAAGTCTTTCCCAAACATTGGGAATGGGTAACTGCTTGCAGATGGAGCGGCAACAGCACTTTCACAGGGGAAGAAAGTTGCCCTGGCCACAGGCAGTACAGCATCAGTGAACAGAGCCTGCCTGGGCTATAAAGTCGGGCAGCTATGAATTAAAAACACGAGTGAATGGTGGGACAGGGCTATCTGTACAAGATCTTCCCTGGTATGAATTTAATGATACAGAGCATGCACAGCACTCAGCATAGTGCCTGCCTCACAATGAATCTAAAAGATGTTGGCTCTCCAGAGAATGCCTTTCCTGTCCCCCATGTCTTCAGCCCAGCGGTGTTACCTTTGTCTCTCTCTCTCTCTCCTAAGCTCCAACAGCTCTTCTTTTGCTTCTGTAACTTCTTTCCTGAGCCTAGGCAGCCCAGCTGGCTCACTTCTACTACCGCTGTAACCTTCTAACTAAATTTTCTCTTAAAATTTGAAAAAATATAAGCAAAAGATGTGGTTATTCCCTACCTTATGCTTTCACTTTCTCCTGAGGACTGTAACAAAGAGTGGGACCACCTAGCAGGCACTGTGGTATCTTGCCTGTAGTTCAAATAATTCTCACAATAATTCCGAAGTTGTTACTGTTAACAGTTCTATTTCACAGATAGAAGTGAATTTCAGAGATGTTAAGAAACTTGCCCAAATTTAACGTCCCAGTTTTAAGTGACAAGGCCCAGTATTTCCATCTAGGGCTCTCTGATTTCATTGGTCCCACTCTTAACCATAATTAATACCATGCTGCATGCGTGGAAAACCTTGGTAACCGAAAGAGCTATCTGAAAATGCAGACACAATGTCTACGGAGATGTCCTTTTTGCGGTCGTAGACCGCTCAAATCTGTCCTTGAAACCCTCAGAGGAGGCAAGGGGTCCGGATTCCAGCCCTGACTTGCCACTGGCTTAGTTCTTGATTCTGCAAATAGAAAAGTGTGTATGTGGGAGATCGCAATATTTACAACCCCTGCAACGTGGGATCTATTGACTTGGTTTAATGTTTTAGGAGTCACACCGAACGGAAAGGACAGACGGCAGTCTACAAACAGAAGGCGCCCAGGATTTTACCCCTCTTCCTCGTAAGGGTACGTTGAGTCCCGCCCCACCTCCACTCCCACTGTCACCCCTCAGGTGGGCCCAAGGTCAGGGACGGTCTAGGCCCTCACCCCCTGGTTGAGGTTTTCGTAGATCGCGTCTGCGCCTTGATCGAAGGCGCGCTCGAAGAACAGAGCGCCCACGGCGATGGTAAGGGCGAAGGTGGAGGTTCTGCGGAATAGCAGGGAGTACAACCTTGCAGTTAATCCCGGTGCCGCCATGTTTGTCCACTGCCGAAGTAGTGACACCCTGCGCCGCGACCGACCTTGCTCTCCAGAGTCCTTCAATGTGCAACACTTTATGGGATATGTAGTCCCTCTGAATCTCGGTGCTCGTCGTTCTGAATGACAGAGGTAACTGATGGCTTGCGCGGAATAAAAATATCATACGAGTCAGGTCAAGGCAACTCGAATCGTTTTGTAAGATTTATTACACAATTTTACTCCTCAACCATTTCTTGCTGATTGACTATTTCGAACTACAATACCCAGAAGCCCTCGCGCTTCCTCCACCTACCTCGTCCAGGCTCAGCTTTAATTCTCAAGGGTTTCTGGGAAGGGAGGACTGATACCCAAGGAAGGACTACGAATCCCAGCAAGCAGTTAGCGACGCAAGGGCCCAGGAGGAGGAGCTCGTAGCCATCGGCCCGGCGGAGCCAGGTACTTTCCTTTGGCCAGACGTCGAGTGTCGAATCTTAGGCTCCTTCCCATCGCGGGAAGACTTGAGCTCTCTTTCTAAGTCTGCGCTCCTCGAGGCGGGCCGCACTATTTAACGGGATGGGGAGTGGCTAGTACAGCGAGGGGTCCTCGCGTCTGGGTCCCTGGCTCGTCTCTTCCAGTCTTCCCTGTTAGTCCCAACTTCAGGGTTAAAGTTGGAGCTGTGGCAAAAGTCGGGTCCTGGAGGCTGAACCCGTCTGCCCGGCTTCAGGGGAAGGGAAGGTCCTGCCCGTACTTCTTAACTTCCTTCATTCTTGGGCTTCAGAGCTGAGGAGCCCCGGCCTGCAAGGAAGGAGACCTGACACCATCGTTCCTCCTTAACAATAGAAAGAGCAAAGGCTTTGGAGTACTAGGGCCGTTCAACACATGTTTTCTGAGCGCCTCCTCTGGACCATGAGCTGGGGATTTAGCAGCGAACAAGTCCCTGCTCATAGAGCAATCATTCTGCTGTGTGGGGATGGATGGGGAGGTGCAGTAACAACAAACAAGTAATGCTTTGAAAAGCAGAAAGGCTGGTTGGGTAGGGGGTGATGGTGCTATTTCAGTCAAGGTGCCCGGAGTGACACTTAACCAGAGACTTGAAAGATAGTAGCAAGTCAAACAAGGAAAATCTTGGTGCAAAGGCCTTGAGGCTGCTGCAGTCGTGGGTTGTTTGAGGGAAAGAAATAGAGTACATGGACTCTGAAGAGGTGGGCTCCGGTCAGCTCATATATGGCTTTGTAACCTATCGTAAGGAGCCTTATTTTTTTCTAATTACACTAGGAAGCCACTGAGGGGTTTTAGGCTGGATTGTGACATGCTCTAATTTACATTTTAATGTCATCATTCTGGCTGCTCTCTGGAGAATAGACTGACGAAGGGAAGTTACTGTGGTGGGTCAGTTGACGCAGGGTGGTAAATTAGATTAGGGTTTGGATTAATTATCAGGGTTTTCTTTTTTTTTCTCATTGCTAGTTGTATAATTTTTATTTTACCTTTGTATTTTAGGGGAAATGTTAACTTTTGGAAATGGGTTATGTTAAATAATTGGTCCTTCTTGTATGTGTTGTTTTAAGAAAATGCTTTGAGAAATATATATGTATATGTGGTATGTTGAGGGGAGGGATGTCCTTGTTTGAATGTGTTTTAAATACAAAATTCTATTTTGCTCTATTCCATTTCCTTTCCTACTTCCACATATGGCTCCAGTGTCGCCATTCTTTGCCTCTCAAACTTGTGGCATTTGCTTTTTTTTCTTCTTCTCCTTACCACAGGGTAAGCAAATCTCAATCTGAAAGACAGCAGATGAGCAAAGAAAGCAGCCAAATCAGGCAGCACTTGTCTGCTGTGGCTCCACAAAGACTTATGGCCTATACTTTGCAGGCAGTTCTTTCCAAAACGGTGCATGTGGTCCCCTCCATCACAATGGCTAATTCACCCAGTTACTTGTGGCCACAGTCGGATTTGGGAGGTATTTGGGGCGGTAAGACAGACAGAACAAGCTGACGGATGCATGTAGGGTGTGCAGGAGAAAAGGAATCAAGCACTAAGTTTTGATCTCAACAGTTTAAAAATCTGTGGGGACGATCTTAAGTTCTGTTTGGCCATGTAAAGTTTGAGCTGCGCCTTAGACATCAGGTGGAGATGGCTGTGGGCAGATGGGGATTTGGAACTGATTTTCCCAGGAGACATCTGGGGCAGAGATAAGAGCCATTGGCACAGGTGTGGCATTGAAAACCAGGGACTGGATTCAAGGCCTGGATCTGCCTCTGACTTGTAAAACTAGCAGTAATTAAGGGACTGGGAGGAAAAATGTGAAATGCCATCCATCCACAATGAGTTATCCTCTGTTTGCAAAGCATCCTAGGAGCCCCTTGGGACAGGAAGTTGTGAAGCTTCTGGGAAAGAATTATTATGTCTTGGTAACAACAAACCTAGCTGATGCAAGTCCAGGTGAGGGAGGAATTATTTTAGGTGGGACAGGTGGGGAAGAACATAGACAGTAACAGTAGGGTTTGTTTTATTTGGTTTTATTTTTTGTCTTTTTAGTTAATTCTCTTTGGAGCAACAATTTTTAAAAACCTAATTTTCTGTAAGCTATCAAATTCACCTTAGAAATTATTTTTCTATACATAAACCTAGAAAAATAAGAAAAATGACCTTAACTTTTCCTTTGATTAATGTTGAACAAACTAAATTCCTTTAAACATTCATCCCTATTTACATCCTAATTGCATTCCCTTACACATTTAATTCCATTTATAAATGTAACATATTTGATTTTCTTTTTAAGTACTTTAGATACATGAACTAGCAAACATAATTACCCCAGAACACTTAAACAGTTACTAGAAGATCTAATAAATTAAACCTTTAAACAATGAATTTAAATTCTTGTAAGCAGTTCAGTACTTTTTTATTTTTTAATTTTTTAATATATATGTATTGATTCTAGAGAGAGAGGAAGGGAGAGAGAGAAGAAATATCAATGTAAGAGAGAAACGTCGATTGGATGCCTCCTGTACACGCCCCAACCGGGAATCAAACCCACCTACTAGGTATGTGTCCTGACCGAGGATTGAACCCACAGCCTTTCGGTGTATAGGACAACGCTCCAATCAACTGAGCCATACCACCTGGCACACTTCAGTACTTTTAATAGACAGTCAAGAGTGCTTTTATGTTACTGTTTTTCAGTCTGGGGAGCTAAAAAAAACCAAACTGACATGAAATTAGGATATAGGGGGCATCTTTAGTAATTTTTATAACACCCCAGGTCATCCTAATAGGTAGCCAGTGTTTCCAACCATTGATAACATCTCAATGTAAAATCACAAGTCTAATATCAATTACTGACATATTTCATCAGTTACTTAACTATATATTTTAACTTTTATATTTTAAATTGGAATCACAATGCTTGTCTGTCATATATTCAACATGTCAAATTCTTTTCAATGTCACTTATACTTTTAAATACCAAGTATACACTGATAATTACTAAATTCAGGACAGGAACATAAATATAGGGGGAGTGTGCGGAATAGATTTACAGTTGTAAGTATGCAAAGCACAGAGTTTATTCTTGTATTGTTACTTATTAATTACTGTATTATTTTCCATATGAACAACTGTAAACCTACTTTTGCTTCACCCTGTGCAATGAGTTTGATTTATACCACTCCCTCCATTTTCAATTCTAGATTTTCCTGAAGTGTGACAGGACACATAGCTAGTAAGAAAACAGTATTATTCACTCTAATGAATTATGTTTAGCACGCCCATCAAGTTGGGGTTACCATTTCAGGAGGCTGACCAGTTTCTGACTAGGATACAAATCAGGGGGGGTGTGTGTCTACATAGAGTCACTATCCCTAGCAGAGGCTGCCTTTGGATGCAGGGAATGGAGGGGTCAAGGAGCAGAAGCTCATTCCCCCAGGCTTTGGTTTCTTAGCAGGTACCTGCTAACAGGTGCTAGACTCACTGGTTAAAATGCAGATTTCTGCCCCCACCCCCGACCCCCATGTGCTGGGTCAGAATCTGGAAAGCTGACCCAGGAGACTTCATTTTTAATAAGCTCCACACAGAGAGCCATGGAAAATTTTGAGCAGGAGTTGTTTTAAGAGGGTTGATCTGATGATGCCCTGAGTGGGTAAACTGGGAAGGTTGGTCCAGGTGCAAGAAGGCAAAACCTGACTTGGGCAGCAGTGACAGTGGTGACAGAGGGTCAGGTGGTATTTGAAGCCCAGACTCGGAGGAAGAAAAGGAGGAGGCACAGGCGGTTCTGAGTCTGGGTATCTGGTTCACGAGCCTCCTTCAGACTATTTTTACTTTTCCTTTTCGGAAACTCTAGCCTCCTGGGACCTGTAACTATCTGATGAGAAACTGTGTCTCCAGCCTGCAGCTCCCTGGAGCCTGATTTGGGTTCAGCTGACCTTTACTGGGCCAGGTCTGCTTAGAATCAGGGCGCACCCTCTCAGCCTTCAGTCAGGGACTGAGGGAAATGTCTGCCTTAGATGCCTTTCAAGGGTCATCCTGGTGAACCAGGTCACTGGAACCGTCCATGGTATCGCCTAAGGAAGAAGGAATAGAATTTATCCCTGCCTGACAAATTTCCCACTTTTTAAGGGAATTTTTGGGGATAATTTAAAAACAATACACGCTAAATGTAGAAACTTAAAAAAATAGAAAAGCACACAATAGGAAAAAACATCTTACATATAATCCTATTATCCAGACATAACCACAGTAAATATTCTGTGTCTGCTCTAGTCTTTTTATGTGTATGTTTTGGGGTGGGATGTTCTTTCTCCTAAAAAAAAAAAAAGGCATTATATTATACATTGTTGTGATAATGAATCACTTTCATTTAGCAATACCGAGTGAACATTTGTCCATATGAAGGAATCATCTCCTTTGTCTTCATTTTTAATGGCTATGTGGTAGTCCATCAACCAGATGTAGCTCATGCCCACTCCTGCATCGAATACCTGTGGGCTCCCTCTGCCCACAATTTTTTTTTTTTTTTGAGGGTAAGACAAGGATAGCAGGATGTGTGCATCCTGTCACTGAGCCTCTGGCCGTACCCAGTTGGGAACCTGAGCAGCATGCTCTACGTGTGGCGAGCCCTGGATGACTGTCAGCTCTTCTCACTGTTGGACATCTAGATCTCAGTTTTAGGACAAGCTACATTGCAGCAACCACCATGGTCCCTAGATCTTTGAGATCATCTCTGATCATTTCCTTGGAGGAATTCCCTCTTGGATGCAGGTGCCCCTCTTGGGTACGCCCTGACACAGAGCTTCTTACCTAGTACTGTTACTGGGGCACATCTGTCAGTCACCCCCAGTGAAGAAGAAGTGTACCTTCTTGTGAGACCAGTGACTTATGTCATGAAATGGGAATCCCATTCTGGCAGAGAGGAAGTGCTCAGCAGATGTTTGGCTGGTGAATGAATGAGTGAAAAGGGATCCGTGGAACTCAAGGGTTGTGTGTGTGTGAGTGGAAGAGGGTGGAGAAGTTTCTTTGACTTGACTCGGGAGTGGGGCGGGTTTTTTAGGGATATTTTTTTTTTTTTTTTTTTTTGGATATGGGGCAGTTTGTAGCCATCATGGATTGCAGAGTGATTTAGTTTTTTCATGTATTCCAGTATATTCACTAGCTATTGCTATATGATGTATTACCCCCAAACTTAGCAACTTAACACAACAAACATTATCTTATACTGTTTCTGAGGGTCAGGAATCTGAGAGAGGCCTAGCTGAGTGGTTCTGGCTCAGACTGTCCCACGAGCTTGCAGTCAAGCTCTGGGCTGCACACATTTGAAGGCCGGACTAGGGCTGTGGGGTCCACTTCCAAGCTTACTCACATGGCTGTTAACAGGAGCTTTGAGATCCTTGCCACATGGGCTTCCCCACAGGGCTGCTCACGCTATGCAGACGGCTTCCCCCAAAGCAAGAGATTAGAGGAAAGGAGACACCAGGATGGACACCGCAGTGTATTTTATAAATTGATCTTAGAAGGGACATACTGTCACCTCTGCCGTGTTCTCTCAGTCACACAAAACTCTGATACAGCTTAGAAGGGAACAACACATGGCACAAACGCGAAGAGCGGCTATCACTGGGGGCCATGGCTGTGCCACTGACACGAATGAGTATTAAGCACCATCAGCATGTCAGGCACCGTGCTGAGCACCTGGCATGCATGATTTAATCCTCAAAGTAATCATATGAAATAGTATTATCACCCTCATCTTCCAGATGAGGCTCAGAGGTTAAGTGGTTTGCTGAGAGTTTCACAGCCTGAGAGTGGCAGGGATGGGATTCAGACCTGGGATGAATGATTAGAGTAGGGATTGACTTGGGTATCACTGGGGCTTTGGGCTAGCCCTCCCCCTCCCTGTTCTTCAGTCCATCATCTGATGCCTTAGACCAGCCTTTCTCTCAGTGTGCTCTGTGGACTCTGCCGCAGAGCCTCCCTAGATCCTCGCCCTCCCACAGACCTGCTGAGTGATCGCTGTGCGTGGGGCCCCCACTGCTGGTACCCCAGGGGGTAAGGCAGTGGATCCTCGCTCCAAGGGGTGGAGCTGAAGAAGGTCCGGATGAGAAGGCCGTGTGGTTGCTACAAACACTGTGGCATCTGAGGGAGACACCTGACATCCTGGGGCTCCTATCAGGGAAGACACCTGGGTCATCTTGGCACTTATTTTGGAGCTGGGTCCTAAGTGGACAACCCGTGGGCCACCCCCACAGGGCAGTTCTGATGCCATCTACTCCAGACGGCAGGCATACGTGGCGCTGGGGCATTGCCATGCTCCTGGTGGGTATGCAATAAAGCCGTGCTCTGGCTGCGGTTTGCTGTTTACTTGGGGTCTGGCAGCGCCGTAATTAGAAGGAATGACAGGTGAGCTTGAGGGCAGCATGTGGTGAGCACAAGTCCTAGGTAATTACAGTGTGTGTCTCAGCTCCTGGCCACAACCGAGCTGTTGGCTTATTTTAGCCTTGTGCCAAAGCCAGCCCTGTATCTGAGGCGCACACAATGGAAGGAACCAAGAATATCAATGAAGGACGAATGTCTGCCCTGTGACAGCCTCACAGCGGAGCAGTGAGATGGGGAAAGAAAGGGTTCTGGGGTCAGCCAGACCCCAGTGTGAATGCTGGTGCGCCCTGGCTGTATGCCGCGGCACTCGGTGTCCCACGTGCTGTGGGCTCCACAGGGGTCCTCAGCGCCCCGGCCCACCAGCAGCACTGAGGCCGATGGGAAATGATCATTGTCAGTGTCTCTCCTAGCCTTGGCTTTGAGCAGAGTGGGAGTCCTTCTGAACCTGTGTCCTCATCTGTGAATGGGCGCCTGGTATAGAGGGTCTCTGTGAGGATTAAATAAGAGAACGAAAACCAGATGCCTAGCATGCAGGAATCAAACCTGAAGGTATCTTCGCTCACCCTACCTCACCCCCATTCTCTCTTATTCTTTCTTCTATCCCAGAGCAGCTCAGCTGGTTGGTAACCTTCTCCTTGAGCCCAGGAGGCGGGAGGCAGGGGCCGTGGGATGGCCAGGTGTGGTTCAAGTCAGGAGAGCTGGGCTCTGCCGGAGGCTGGAGTCCTGTGGGGAGGGCAGGGGTAGCAGTGAGAGACCTGCCTTTGGGGTCTTACTTGTCTCTCTTCTCACTGCCTTCTTTTTCCATCCTTGGCACTGACCCCGGATTCAAACTAGAGGAAAGAGGACCTGGCAGATGTTGTTAGTGAGCACAAGGTGAGGCTTCGGGTTCTGCAGGCTCATTCCACAAGCAGTTGTGCAGCTTTGTGTGTGAGGCCCTGTTCCAGATGCTGGATGCAGCAGCTGGACAGACAGACAGAGCTCTGCTCTCATGGAGTTTGTATGCTAATGGGGAGGCCGGCGCACATAGCAGGAAGTCAGCTTGTGAGAAGGGAAGGTGAACTGTGGAAAACAGCACGTTGTCAGGGGGGAGGAAGTGCCTGCATTAATGTGTGCCTGCAGTTGTGACTTCAGCTGCAATTTTACATCAGGTGTTCAGGGTGTGCTTACCAGGAGGGTGAGGGGGTGGGGCTTCAGGAGAACAAATAGCAACAACAGTAGCAGCCTCCATTGGAGCGCTAACTCTGTGCTGGGCGCCTCAGTATAATACCACCCTCGTAAATCCCTAGCAACAATGGGGTTCCTCTTTTATAGCTAAGGACAGACTCAGGGAGATGAAACAACTTTCCAGAGGTCACCCAGCAGAGCCATTTGAACCCAGACCTATGTGACCCCAGAGGCTTGTCGCAAGGAACTGTCCTGTTACTTGGCAAATGCTGTTGCAACCATGCACCTGGGCCCTGGGACTAGGAGGGTGGTTCCCCGCCGTGTTCCCAGCAAGGAAGCGAGGCCGGGTTTTCCTAGGTTCCAGACAGGGCCTTGCTCTCAGGCTGCCGTGCGCACCAGCCTCAGAGGATGAGGGTGAATCACAACAGAGAAGGCCAGCTTAGTCAGCAGCCCATGCTGGTGTCTGAACGTCATCAGAAATGTCCAGCTGTCCCCATCCCCACTCCCTGACCTCCCACTCAGGGCTGCCAAGTGCAGTGGTGCAGGTTGTGCTTCATGCAGGTTGTGCTTTGTGCAAGGACACCTGCCCGAGGAGTCAGTCTGCTTGCTAAGCTGTGTGTCTGGAGGGCACTGTATCTTTCCAGAGGATTCTGCAGTTGCACCTCGTCCTAGTGTGTGCCAAGGCACTGGAGCAGGACGCAATTGGGTGCTGCCTGGGTGATGTCACCTTGCTGAAGGCCAGCTCCTGCCCAGGGAGGGGCCTCTGCCTCCACAGGGAAGTCCTGCGAGGTGGGCCGGAAGCCCTGGGCCCTGGAGCCTCTCTGCTCCCCTGACACCACCCCCAAGCAGTGGGGGGCTCTGCAGAGCTGCTGTGAAGAGCAGGTGTGTGGGTCCACTGTGGGGGCCGAGCTTCCAGTCCCACCTCTGCTGTTCTGTGTACTTCACTTCCCCCTCCCTACCTACTTCCCTCATCTGTAATACGTACCAGCTGGCCACTTGGGCAGTGGCATCCTGTTCCTTGATCTGAGCTTGTGTTTTCTGAAATACGGGCTTTCTGAAGGCCAATGACGGTAATGAAGACAACCAACATTTTTCTGAGGCCTCCCGTGGACCAGGCCCTATGTTACTTGAAGTGTGTGTGTGTGGATGATTTGACTCACAGCAGCCCCTGAGGTGGGCACTGCTCTTATCCCAGTTTTCATAGGAAGAAGTTGATTGCTCAAGGTCACAGGGTTAGAGAGTACCCGGATTTAAACCCCGGTGGCCTGGAGGACCCCTTCCGATGGTCTGGTTTGGCTGCCTGCATGCTGTCTCACACGTGCTGACGCAGGCCCAGAGACGGCAAGTGACGGAGTTGTAGCCTCACCTGGCAGACCTGGGACTGGACTGTGGGGGCCTGTTGACCCGTCCTGGATGGTGGAGCGCTTCCCCTGTGCCAGGTGGGGTGGGCAGGGCGGGCACGGGAAGGCATGGCTGGGCTGTGCCGCCGCTGTGGCCCTCCACCGAGGCTGACTTGCCTCCCATTGTGTGTGTGCAGGAGGGGGGAAAACATGAATACACATGCATATACGCACCCAGCCCTAAGGGGCTTATCATTTGGGTCAGAGTGTTGCTGAGTCTCGATTCCCAGTGGGTTGGTGAGAGGCTACCTCAGCAGACCAGAGTCCCAGGCACCCTGAGACCTGCTCTGCCCTTCCAGGAGCACCTCACAGCACCTCTCTGAGCTTCAGTGTCCTCATTCATGAGTGAGATTATAATACCTACTCTCGGGGTTTGGAGGGGCCACGTGGTCCTGGGGGTGTAGTGAGTGATTCATAAAGGGAAGCCGTCATCAGTGTGATTTGTCAGGAGGAGAGTTTCGTGAGTGAGTAGGAAGGGCTGTAGAGCCACCCTGCCTGGGTCCCAGACCCAGCTCCGCTGCTTTCTGGTGTCATGACCTTGGCTAAGTCACTTCACTTACTGGAGCCCAGTGCCCTCTTATGAAAAGGTATTAATAATAGGACCTGCTACAGAGGTTGTCCTGAGATGATGCATTTATAAAGCTTTTAATCTAGTGCCAGTACATAGTAGGTGCACAATAAATCAAGTAATAAGTACTATTTATTTAGTACTTGCTCAGTGCTGGACATTATGGGTGTTACTTGTATTGCTAATGCTCTTTTGTTAATAATTCATTTGATTAGCAAACTTTGTACCACTCCCCAAATAATCAGGCAACCAGTCAGACCCACTGCTTCATTCCCACAGTGAAAGTAGAGGCCTTTTCACTGAGAGGGGATGTGACCAGCCCAGGGTCGCAGAGCTGGCTGCTCAGTGCCCTGCATGGTTTGTCCAGCTAAGTCTGCTGCAGGGCCGCTTTGTCGTCTCTGCCTCTCGGAGGGACATCCCCCACCCCGTTCCTCCCCTCCCCGTTCCTGCCCAGAGCCAGCAGCTCCTCCGAGCTTCAGGCTTCATGAATGGCTTGGTTAAGCTTTCAGCCTAAACGTTCATCTCTTACGATTTCAATCCAATTCCTATAAGTTTATTGGCAAGATGGGGTGTATTAGAGCTGCCAAATTTAATATATCAAGTCCGTGTGTCTGGGATGTGGTTTCTCAGCAGTAACGGGAGAACAGAGAGATTTTATATGTTTTCATTTTGAATGACTGTCTGTTCCTAATCCCATTATAGCCCTTGACTTAATGGCTGCTGTCCCTGTCTGCTGCAGGAGCAGCTTTCTCCATCAGCCTGCGTGGCTTCCTGGACTGTCCAGGGGACTTGTTTGTCTTTGTGTGTCTCTCCAGTCCCTCCTTTACAAGGTACACTTCCCCATCCGTCTGCCCTGTGGGACAGGTCCCAGCCTTATCTTTATTTTCCTGATCCTGGGAGTTTGAAGCTTTTGCTGGTAGCCTGAGCTGCTACCTCATGACCTTGGGGAAGTCACCTGTCTTTGTCCTCTGGACCTCAGGAGCCTGCTCTGTGAAATGAAGAATCAGAATATAGAACCTGAAGGGCGAGGGGCTTGTCTGGGCTCAGCCTGTGCAGATCCTATTTGGTGGCCCCAGTGGATTCTCCTCTGGCCTTGCAACACCACACTGGGAGATGCAGGTGTTGGCACGAGAGTCGCAGAATCAGCCCCTGCCTTGGACTGCAGACCTCCGGGTCCAGAGTGGCAGCTGCGGTCACCATGGCTGAAGGGTCTTAGGAAAGAAAGAAATGAGAATGTTTCAGGGTCTCATTTTTCATTTCCCTCTGTGATTGGCTGGGGACCTGCCACTTGAGAGTTTAGCCCATCTCCTTGGGAAGCTGTTCTGCACGTCTGCCTGAGCCTCTGGCTTCCCTGAGCACTGAGCGAGCTGTGGAAGAAAGGACACTTGGCAGCTGGACATTAGGGGACCAGCAGTCACTTTCTGCTTATCAGCTCTGTGACCTTGAGCAAGTCTTCTTTTCGAATCTCAGTTGTCCCTTAATGAAAATGGGAATGAATTTGTTTATTCAACAAATATTTGGTTGCCTGCTATGTACAACGCACCACTGTGGGTGCTGGAGCTTCAGAGATAAACAAAACAAAAATATCTCTGCCTGCAAGAATTTATCTTCATCCTGAGGGAAAAAGACAGTAAACTTAACAAGTAACTTATTACTTCAAAGATGATAGAAGTGAAGCAGGGAATGGAGAAAGCTAAATGGAGGGTGGAGAGTTCTGCAATTTTAAATAAAGCCGTCATGGTAGATTACTGAGAAGGTAGTATTTGAGCAAAGATTGAAGGAGTCGGGTGAGCAAGCTTGGCAGGTACCGGACAAGAGCACCCAGGCAGAGGGAGCAGCACGGAAACCCAGCAGGTGGGCATGTGCCCGGCGTGGGTGAGGAGCAGTGAGGAGGCAGGGAGAGAGCAGCAGAGAGGAGATCAGAGGTGCGGGGGGTGGCGGCCGGCCAGAGGGTGTATGGCTGTGAACAGAGGGTTCACTGGCTGCATGTGAAAATTTCCTCGGGATTTTTAAAAAAAAATACTGATGGCCGGGCCTCACCCATTCCGGTTCTGCTTTAACGGACCTGGGACGGAGGCTGGGCATCAGAACTGTTCAAAGTTCCTTCTCAAACAAGGCCTCCCAGGCCATAGGCCTTGGCCCACTTAGCTTGGCCTCATGGGCTGTGGTGGGTTTTAAAGGAGGTGAGAGTGAACGGAAAGCCTTCCTCGCACAGCACAGGCCTGACCCCGAGGAGTGCTCAGTCACGGTGGTGTGCTGTGGGCTTCGGTGTGTGGCTTTCCTCCGCGCTCTGAATGAGTGCTTTGTGGCTTCCCAGGCAGTGGCAGCCCCCGGAGCAGGTGACCATGGGGAAGCGTTACTTCTGCGACTACTGTGACCGCTCCTTCCAGGACAACCTCCACAACCGCAAGAAGCATCTGAATGGGCTGCAGCATCTCAAGGCCAAGAAGTCCTGGTACGACATGTTCCGAGGTGGGTGCTCGTGACTTGGCTGCCAAGCTGATGGGGCCCGGCCCTTTGATCTCTCTTATCGTCAGACAAGGAAGCACTGTGGGCCAGTGGCCTCAGGCGCAGATCGGCCCTCAGAAGTTCAGACTGGAACATGAGCACCTTTCCCCAGCGATCTTGACTAGGGGCTTGGTCCTCAGATGCATACTGTCTGGGGACACTATGGCCAGGAGGAAGGCCTCTCCGAGGAGGCAATGTTTGAGCCAATAGCTGGAAGGTTCCATGCCATTTTGGGCAGAGGGTATTATTAGTTCCAGCAGCTGAGAAGGAAGGAGCAGGTGAGACAGCGAGAGTTCCCTGGTCTGTGACTCAGAATCCACAAGAAGGTAGTGAGCATTTATTGAGTGCCTGCTGCATGCCAGGTGCCTTCCATGGTTTGTCCTTTGCTTTTCTCAGTAATTCTCTAAGGCAGTGGATCACTGGATGCCTAGACACCTTGAAATAAAAAAATGCTGACCCCCTACCCCCATCCCCAGAGGCAGGTTTGGGTGGGGCCTAGGCATTTTGAAAGCTCTCCCAGACTTGCCCCATTTCAGACAAAGGAGAGTGGCCAGGCTGCTCAGCAGACCAGACATAGCTGTGGTTGTGGGGGTCTGGGAGTAGGGGGCAAAGGGGTTTCCTAGGCACCTGGGAGGCCTGTGACCCTGGTGTCAGGCAGAGGTGCCCTGTCCCCCATATCCTACGGGGCTGTGATCTGGCATGGAACTGGGCCTCAAGGTCACCCTGGTGTTTGCTCCCTAGTCTCAGACTCTCAGCCTTGAATAGCCGGGTCCTAGGGTCCAGGCTGATCTTCAGAGGCTGTTGTGTTACTTACAGAAAAGATGAAACAGGTGAGCCCCTTCTCAGGGCTCCTGCATTCCCAGCATCCTCTCATGTCCCCAGCCACATTCTGTCCTTAGAACAGATCTGTGAAGGAGCCTGGGCCGGCAGGGGGTCCCTACTTCAGGTGGTGCCTTGGATAACCAGAGCAGTGAGTTGCCCCACCTTGGGTCCCTAAGCTGGCATACAAGCTCTCTCCACTTCCTGAAGAGGCTGCCCCAGGACCCCGGTTACCCAAACAACTGCACAGCACAGACCTGAGGGGTGGGGGAAGGACGTGGCACCCCAGCCTGCACTAGGACTCTTGTCCTGCTCCTGGTTTCATGTCCATGGACAAGTCGCTTAGCCCTCAGAGTGCTGACCATCCCTCTGCCCTGGTCAGGACAAGCACAGGTGCTAGAGCTAGGCTCTCTGGGAGTCAATCACAAGGTATCACTCACTAACCGCGTGGCCCTAATTTAATCATGTGTAAACAGCCAGAACAGCAGTGCCCAACTCCCAGGGACGTGTAATCTCAGTAATCTCATGCTTACTGTCTGGCACTGAGGCTTCACTAAGTAAGAATACCTGTGGGTCCACAAGAGGATTGGCCTCAGGCCCTTTATGTCATGGGCTCATTCATTCAGCCAGTGCCTGGGAAGCACTTAGCATGTCCTCAGCTCCCAGACAGGCTCTGAAGGCTTACAGGTGAATGAAGCAAGGCCTCTTCTAAGTGACCTCATGCCCAGTGACAGCAGCTTGTCCTGGGTGGAACCCCTGTCCTACCCAGGCCTCCGTGCCCTGCTGCCCTTTCCCTCTGAGCTTTAGCCACACTGGCCACCGCAGTTACTGTGCCCTCTACAGACATGCCCTTCCCGCTGTCCTCCCTGCCCCCAACCTGGCCCTCCCATCTCAATCAGGCAGAGCCTTCCAGGGTGCCCTCCTCACCCCTGGGGCCAGGCCAGGTCATTTGGCTTCCTGCTCGCTGTTTACCCCTTTTATATCCGCGTGGATTAGTGTGGCTGTTGGACTGGAAGGAAGGACCAGGTCTGACTTGTCCTCCGCTAAATCCTCACGCTGGCATGGTGCCTGTCACACAGGACGTGCTCAGTAAATGTTTGTTAGATGAATGTCTAATTGAACGAGCAAACAGACACAGGGCACCAAGGCAGGTGTTAATACCGGGAGATGAAGCGAGAAGGACAAATGGGGTCAGGTCATGAGGAGCCTTGAACACGAGGTGGAAGCACAGGCTTCCCTGCGTAGGGCCTGGGCCTGGGGCTCTCAACCCAGGGTGCACTTCACAATCACTGAGGAGCTTCTAAAAATTCTCGCGCTTTCCCCATTAGATGAATCAAAGCAGGACCTGAGGAGGACGGGCTTGGGCATCTGTATACTTTAAAAGCTGCCTGATGATTCTGCCATGTGGCTGGGATCAAGAACCACCAGCTAGATGCTGGGCAGCCTGGAAGTCTTCTCCCAGTGCTGAGCCACCCAGCCAAAGTCCCTTGTGTAGGCTTGCCATCCTGCCAACCTCAGCCATCCAACCCCCGGGGGACCCTGGACAGTGTCCCCCTGCCCTCCACCAATTCACTTCCCCTGGGAAGTCCTGTGGCCTCAGCTGGCTGAGTGGAGCCTGACACCCCAGTGCTGACAGATGGACCCCTCCCCACGCTGCTGGTCCAACCCACACTCCCCGAGGCCACCCCTGGAGTGAGTCCTCTGCTATCCAACTCCTGACCCCAGCAGCCCGCCCTTTCCCCCAGCCACCAGCTACCCCGGGGAAGGGAGGAGCCCTCATCAGAGCCGGCTACTCCCCCAAACACCAGGAAGTCAGCTGGGGTTCAAACCTGCACTGCCACTCCCTGACCATGTGCCTTTTCCCCTGTATGAACCTCAGTTTTCCCGTCTGCAAAGCGGGGAGTCGTTTGTGAGGAGGAAGTGAAATCAGAACTGCTTCCACGAGTTGCTCATCCACTACAGAAGGTCTCAGTCTTGGCTGCATGTTAGTGTCACCTGAGGAACATGATGCTGAGGCCACTCCCAACCCCACTTTCCCAGAAATGCTAATGTGCCATCAGATATAGGAACAATTGGCCTCCTCTGCCAGGTACTCTCCATTCATTATCTGCTCACTGAGCAGCCTTACCAGGTGACACTTTTCCTTCCATCTAACATATGGGGAAACCTCCTTCAAGGCGACATCAAGGCCGTGAGTCAGGACACCTTCCTCACATGACTTACTCGCAGATTTTGACTAATTGATTCCTTGCCTTGCCTACCAAGAAGCACACAAAACTTGCACCATAAATATACGATGAAAATAAAGGTAGAAAAAAATCAGAGGAAACCAGGGTGAAGGTTTGTATCCAGAAACGTAATGTTGCCAAGTTCCGTCCAGGCCGGCGACTGGTCTGGCGCGGAGAGCCACAGCTGGTGTGAGGGGAACCGGGGGCAGTGCTGTGCGGCCTTGGCTGTGGAGCATGCCTGGGCCCTGGGGTTTACTGGTGAGCTTCCTGCGTACCAGGAATTTTTTTTTAACTTTCTATTTTGAAATAATTATAGATTTATAGAAAGTTGCAAAGACAGGTCAGAAAAGTCTTGTGGTACCAGGATTTTAAAAAAAGAAGAAGAAAAAGAAAAATAGCTCCTTAGGTGATTTCCACTGTGCAAAGTTCAGAACCTCTCACGTAAAGCCTGGCCCTTCCTTGCCTTTGTCTGGGCGGGTGGGAGGGGCTGAGGTCTCCTAAGGCTGGGGTCCCTCTGCCCAGCATCCCCATCTGTGGCCCTCCCTTCTTACACTCCCTTATGAATGGGAAGCTCTTTCCAAACCTCAGGAAGTTCCTGCGTGGTGCTCAGGTCTGAACCCAGCCGCTCTCTTCTCTCACAGATGCAGCTGCCATCTTGCTGGATGAACAGAACAAGCGGCCCTGCAGGAAATTTCTACTGACAGGTAAAGTGTCCTACCCAGTTCAGCTTCGCCCTCCTCCGCTTCCCCAGGGACCAGCACGCCCAGCCTGGCCTGCTGGGACCTCTGCAGAGCCTCCTCCCCACCCTGGCCCCTGTCCTGAACCTACTTCATGGCCTTGGCGCCTCTGCCGGCTGCTCAGCTGAGGCCTAGGGCTGTGCCTTAGGACTTCAAGGGGCTTGTCCTCCGTTCTTCAGACCTGGAATGTGATTTTATCAGCTCAGCCAGAACAGGCAGGCTCTGGGAGGTTGCTGCGAATCCAGGAGACGCTGATGGGTGTAATAGACTGGCAGATTGAGTTAGCCCAGGAGCCAGACCTTGCTGTGTCCTCCCTCCCAGCAGGCAGGGCAGAGACAGTAGCAGGCCTGATGAGGCCGAGAAGGTTCAGAATCAGAACCAGGGATGCTCAGTGTTGATTTGACTGCTCAGTACCCACCGAATAAAGGTACATATACAATAGGGTTTTTTTTTGTTTGTTTGTTTTATTATTTATTTATTTATTTTTAGAGAGAAGGGAAAGGAGGGAGAAAGGGAAAGAGAGAAACATCGATGTGCAAGAGATACATTGATCGGTTGCCTCTTGCACACCCACATCCTGGGACCTGGCCCGCAATCTAGCCATGTGCCCTGCCCAGGAATTGAGTTGGTGACCTTTCCATCTGTCGGACGACGCCCAACCCACAGAGCCACACCAGTCAGGGCAATGCATATTGTTTAAAAAAAGAGATAAAATCTCAGTAAGTGAAGGAACCAAAGGCAGAAGAAAATAAGGATAGGAGAAAGAAGACAAAGCCAGGAAAATTAGCCTCCTCCATGCCTGCCTTGACGTCCTATGTACTCTCTGAGGGTTTGGCCCTGAGCTTCCTAACAGCCAAGGCAAAGACGAAAGCCCTGATGATTGACACGGCGTGTGAGGGGACTTAGCACTGGGGAGCAGCGCTGCTGTTGACCTAGGGAAGCGAGGTGAATGGCTGCGTTCCCTCAGGGGATGGGGTGGCCCCTAGAATGGGCACCAGGCCTGCAGGTCAGGGGCTTCCGCAAGGACTTCACCTTGATATGAACATGCCACAGGTCGGTTGCACTGGCCTGGGACACTTCCAGTCTTCTCTTATTTTGAGACGCATTTTGGTCTTCTCAGCTGAAGTTCGGAAAGCCACCCTGGACTTTGATAACTCCTTAATGGTACAAAGCTGCCATTGCAGCCTTTCTGGGGAGCAGTACAGCTGCTCATGCATGCCTAACGAGCAGTCCACCAGGCAGAAGGCAGGCCTGGCCATGGCCTGGAGTGGAGAGCAGAAGCATGACCTTTTCAGCGACCTGCATGTCGTTTGCTGAGGCTGGGGAACAGAGGCTGGGGCCACGCGGTGGTGACAGGAGCCAAACCTGCAGAGGCTTGCTACCTAATCACAAAAGGCTTCCGTGGGCTTTGATCCCCAGCCAGGGAAGGGTGGTGAGCAGGACATGATGGACCAGACAGCTTGCTCTGGCTGCTTGTGTGGGTGGGGCCACGGAGTCAAGTTTTTCTTCAGGGATGGAGTTGTTACTTGTTAGTCCCTAAAGTCTTGCCCCTAAAATTTCAGTGACTGCTCCAGCCACAGTGGGAGCCCTGCCAGAGCAGCGAGTAACTCTGTCTTCACTTTGCAGGCCAGTGTGACTTTGGCCCCAACTGCAGATTTTCCCACATGTCAGAGCGAGACCTGCAGGAGCTGAGCATCCAGGTGGAGGGTATGTTTTGGTTGAGCCAGGGGCCAGGGACCAGGGTAGGGGTGGGCTGCTGGGGCAGCGTGCAAGATCTGGGGCCAGGGAAGCAGCCTGTGCCTCCTCACCGCCCTGTTGTTTATGGCTGCCGGGTGGGGTAGGCGGAGGCTGCCCCAGGTGATAGGGTGGATGTTCAGAACTGCCTTCAAACCACCCCAGACATGAGTGGAGAAGGAGTAGGGGAGCTCCCATCTGTGTCCTCTGCTGGGTTTAAAGTGACAGGAGGCCTGAGGGTCACCTCAGCCCCACCTGGGCTCCCCTGCTAACCTGGCATGCATTCACCTATGTACTCCCTCTCTCCCTCAATCAGGCAGCATACGTTGAGCCCCTGCAGTGCTCTGGGGACAAGAGGATAGAGAGAGCAGCTCACCTGCCCTCAGGATTCTCAGGCCCCGTGGTCCCAGGGAAGGGCAAGTTCAGTTTCCCCTGGAATCTGGACTATTCTGCCTTTAGGAAATTCACTTCTCACCTCTCCAACTGGAGAACAAGGAGGTTCCCACTTAGATGGTCTTTATTGACCTTCTCATGAAGCCCCTTGCTGAACAGAGGGAGAAAATGAGGCCGGCGCTCAGGCAGGAGGGCCTCACTGGACCCCAAGCAAGTTAGAGGGGCCAGCTAGGGTTTCCCAGGGTGCTGCTCAGCACCTGCCGGGTGGCCTTGGGGCAGCCAGAGTGCCTAGGGGAGCCAGGCCTTTGCCCCTGTCTCCCAGGTGGCCTCACTGTCCTCTGACCAATCAGACCCTGTGGGCCCTGTCCTGCCCTGAGGAGCTGACAGAGGTGGCAGCTGTTCTGCAGCCCACATGGCCTCCCTGCACCCCAGATGTGGACTCCTCCTGGGACGAGGCTCTCAATACGTGTTATCCTGTGTCCAGCTCAAAAAAGCCTGGGAGGCAGTCAGTGTTTTAGCTCCACTCGATGGGCAGCAGAGTGAGGCCCAGAGGAGAGATCCTGGGGAGGCAGTGGCACGGTGGGGACAGGCCAGACCTTCCTGGCCTCCCAGCCTGCGCTTCCCCGGAAGGTCTGGAAAGGTTCCGACTGTGTTGTAGGAGGCCAAGATTCAGGTGGGGGTGGGCGTGCCCCTCACTTGCCTCTGTCTTTCTATCCCCACAGAGGAGAGGCGGGCCAGGGAGTGGCCTGTAGATAGCACTGAACTCCCAGAGGGCCATTTGGAGGACTGGCTGGAGAAGAGAGCCAAGCGGCTGCGCTCTGCCCCAAGCAGCAGGTACAGGCCCCAGGGCCCCTCCCCCCCGCCGTGCCCTATGGGAGTAGGACCCCATGCAGCCTGCCCTGACCTGAAGCTGAACAATCTCCATAAACTGCCCAGGCCTAGGTGCCAGTTAGGGACTTAACCTCCCACAGCAGAGCTCCCCAAGGAGGGGACCATGTCAGGGGCTCTTGGGTCCCCAAGTTCTGGCCAAAGGCTGAGGTGCACTGTTTGAAAGTTCCTATTCCTGGGCCTCATCCCCCTGCCTTAGAGGCTCCTCCCTTATTGGAGTTTGTGCTGGTTGAAGGGGAGGCCAAGCCTACTTGACTCCGCATCACCAATTCCATCACCAGAGGAGTCTAATTGTGATTATTGTCACCAGTCACTGCTGTGTCCCCTCTGGGGTCCTGCCAGATAGGCATAGTTCCCTGCAGGGAAGTAAGGCTCATGGGAGGGTGTGACTTGCTCAAGTCCCTATGGCTGGGAAGAGACTGAGCTGGGATTGCCCAGGGTTGTAAAAACAGGCTTACTGTCATTATCCTGGGCCTCCCCTGTAGAGGGGGCTACTGCCTGGACCCAGTACTCAGGATGCTCAGAAGTAGACAGGCATTCTTTACTTCTTTACATACACACACCCTTTACATACATGGGAGCACGCTGGGCCAGGGGCCCTCATGTATGTGCTGTGTGCTTTCTCAGGTCCTCCTCCAGCCAGGGCTCCCGGGCTCTTTGCCAGGAGAGAGGAGAGAGAGAGGAGGGATGGGGTTGAAGGATGTACCTGTGGGCTGCCTGTGATTTTGTACAAGTGGCCCCACCCTGGACCACCCCGCTTCCGACCCAATTATCTCTGTGATATGGCTTCATGGGACAGCGGCCAGCTTGCCCCGGGCCAAGGGAGCCTGCTGGGATAGTCTGTTGGATGAGGCCGTCCCTCGGGGCATCAAGGGACGCTCAGCTTCTCGCCTTCTGTGTCCCAGTGAAGAGAGCTCATTAAGCTATAAAACAGTGACCTTTCATTGTTTTTTACCTTTGTTTTAAATCTGTGCCCAGTTTTGTCCCTCCTACCTTGAAAATATATATAGTACAGAAATGAGTCAAATACTGGAATGTGACATCCCTTCCTCCTCGTGGCGGTGATTTTGGTCATATGGGCACCCCCTTGGGGCTGGCCATCATCACCTGGGGACTTACACCATGCGCCTCAGCCTCCCGCAGCCTGTCGGAGGCCCGCGGAGCACTGCCGGGGCGCCCTGCTCTCCCACTGGGCCCCGCACTGCTCGCTGGGCTAGCTGCCTGTGCGTCCAGCTGCGCTCGGTTTTTACTAGGCCGTGCTTCCTCCCCTGGCCCCTCCCCTCCCTGCTGTTTCTGGAATACAGCCTGCAAGTGGAGATCGCCCCAGGCTCTCCAGGTTCTGAACCTGTCCTCCAGGTCCACCCACTCCGTCCACCCAACGTGGCCCCTTCCAGGGGACCTGCTTTCCCGGCAACCACTTAACTTATTCTCTGAGTCCGCCTGCCATCCACCTGCCTCCTGTGGGCTCAGAGCTAAAATGAATTATTCTCTGGGCAGAACAGGTCTGTCCAGCCTTGAGAAAAAAGGGTTGTTAGAAAGGAGTGAACATTTATTATTGCTTTTGTCATCGCTGTCCTCTTCTTCAGCCCTCTCATATAGGCTGGTCTTGTGAAAAATGACATCTGGATCCTGGGCCTGAGAGCTTTGGGCTCTGCCCCTGCAGGGTAGGGGGAGTGTGGATTCCAGCCCCACCGGCCCCCCTCACTCTGCCTCACTGATTCCCATGTCTCCCTCTAGGCAGCCCTGGAGACAGGTGCTGTGTGACCTTCAAACGCTGGGCTGTTCCTAGGTGGCCATAGCAGCCCCCCGGTCTCCTGCCTCCCCTCTGCACCTCCAGTCCGTCCCCACAGTAGCCCGAACAAGCTTCTAAAACACGTGCTGGCCTGGCCTTTGCTTAAACCCTCCTAGGCTTCCTCCACCTCAGGTGGCACTTCCCTGTCACCTCCCTGGGCCCGTGGGGTCACCTGCTCACCTCTCCCGTCTGGCCTCTATGTTAGTACCCCTGGACGCTTGGCAGCTTCTCAGCTCTGGTGGGTTTCTGAGTTAGGGGCACCCTGCGCAGGCTGTCTTCCTCCACTTGTAGCCGCCCCCCAACCTCTCCGCACCTGGCAAGGTCAGACACATCCTTCAAGCTTGGCTAAGGTGTCACCCCTTCCGGCTCCCAGGCCTCCCCGTCGTGGCCCTGAGCTTGCATCATTGTTCTTGGGGTCTGGAGCTGGGTAACATGTGGCCTGCATGAGAGAGCATTTTGGGGAGCAGAGTCCCCAGCCTGGAGGACTGTTTTCTGGGTGGTAGTGCCGTGGGCCACTTGTGGGGGCTGGTCTACTGGCTCCTGTTCCTCTCTGGGTGTCTCTTTCTCCCCCTGGGGCATAGGACACAGGTGGCTGCCTGGCCCCCCTGGGGCCACCCAGACTCCACGGCCCTAACCCCACAGACCGATTAGAACCCTCAAGGTGAGCCGGGCCACCCCTCCTGGAACAAGGGAAAGGGAGGCTCCCTGGGGCCCCAGCCGGTGCATGGTGCCATGTCCCTCAGCAGACTGACCCTGAGGGATCTGCCAAGAGCAGCGGGCTGCGGGAGGGAGAGGCCCGCCTCAGCCGAGCGGACTAATCCCCTGGCGAGGCTAGTGCTTGTCCATGGCCTTTATTGTTGGCTCTTCAGATTGTGACTTTATCCCTCTTAATCTTCCCCTTTGCACCCCACTCTGGCCTGGCGCTGCTGCTGTGGCCCAGGCACCCACTGAAGACTTTCTGATTAAGACCATGGCAGGGAGAAACAAGAGCTGCTCCTGTCTTTGTGCACCGGACAAACAGGCCGCAAGAGAAGCTGCAGCAGAGCCATGCCACACATGCAGCTCAGTGTCCCTGTCTGCTCTGTGCGGGGCTAGAGGGGTGCCCTTCAAGGGCTCAGGGGCCCATATTTTGGGGTCCAGGAAATGTGCTGGTGTCTGAGCACACACCGGGGTGCCTCTCTCCTGGTGGGAGGCCTTAGGGTGCTCAGGGGCTCTGAGTCCCGGCTGCCCAGGAACCTGTCCCATCTCCTAGAGGAAGGCTCTGAGGTGTATGGGAAGGGGCTCCCCAGGATCATACCCTCTCTGTCGAGGCTGTCGTCCCCCACAACCCTGCAGGGAACCCTGGCTTGGCAGGCAGCTGGGGCAGTCCCACCGAGAGACTGTGGAGCCTCCCCGACTCCCACCCTCCCCTACAGCTGGCGGAGTTTATGAAACCTCCCCTGTGCCATAAATCATGCTGGGAGCTGCTTTCTGCGCTTTCCAACAGGCAGCAAGCCGCTGAGCAGGGATTCCCCTGTCCTTGCGCCACGAGAGGCCCCAGAGGCTGCGCCCGGGCTGCCTGAAGTCCTCAGTCTCTGTGTAGCCGGTCAGGCCCCGAGGGGCAGGCTGGGTGAGCACAGCGAGGCCAACTCCTGGGCCTCCTGCCCCCAGTGCCCCAGCTCCACCTCGGAGGCCTGAGTCCTCTCCAGACCTCCTACAGAGGGCTGGCCCCTAGGCCCCTAGGCCCCGCTGTTGCCAGGCCTCACCTTCACTGAAAGCAGAGCCTGGGGGTGGGGTGGGGCTAGATGCTGCTGGAGCTGAAGCTGGGGGTGGGGGGTGTCCGGAGCCCATGTATGAGTCACATTCCAGCCCCTCAACCCATGTCAGTTGAGCATGTGACTGACTCTGTACACCTCAGATGCCTCATCTGTAGAACGGGGTTCGCGTGGCAATTCTTAAAGTTTCTCTAGGCTGTGGCATCTAGTCCGGAATAATGCTTAGTTAGTGTTGCTGTTTGTCACCAGCAAACATTCACTAGGTGGCTTCCCTGTGCCAGGGCCAGCTCTGGGCTCTGGGGGAACAGATGGACCCCCCCGCCCAGCCCCGGGTGTCTGCCGTCTGAGAGCTCCAGTCCCATAAGGGAGACATGAGCTCCCAGGGGAGCTCACAGAGGGCTCCCTGGAGTGGCAGCCTGATGGGGGGTGAGGTCCAGGGGGACTGGAATGTGGAACCGGGAGGGGGGGGTGCCTCTGCACCTCAGTGAGCTTCCTCCTGCAGGCAGCCCCGGGCGCGCCCCCAGGGCGGGCCGTGCAGAGAGGCCCCTGGGTTCCCAGGGTGCGGTTCCAGGGGTGCGGTCCTGAAGGGGGAGGAGAGTGAGGAGCTTGAGAAATGAGGCTTCTAAAAAAAATTTTAGACAGTATTTTTTTTGGATTTCAAAGGCGTGTGGACTTGTAAAACTTTTCTTGAAAAGTATAAAGAAGTTAAAAAAAAAAATAAAAAATCCCCACCTATAATTGCACCACTCAGATAGAATCACTGTTAACATTTTGCTGTCTTCCAGGTTTTTTTATGCATTTATATATGTTATATATCTTTAAACAAAAATAGTATCATGCTATATACATTATTTTATAAGCTGCTTTTTCTACTACTCACACAGTACATCATGATGCCTTTCCTCATCAGTGCATATAAGTCTGCCTTAATTTTTACACAGGCTGCATAGCATTCTCTGCTGTGGACGTGCATATATATTTAATCAATCCCCCCACAGGTAGACACTTAGGTTGTTTCTATTTCTTGTACCTCAGTCTGTGCCCACAACCCTGCTACTTCCTTGGGCTCATTCCTAGAGGTGAGGTTGCTGGCTCAAAGGGTCTGCATGTCTTTGAGGTTCTGCCTTCCAGACAGGTCAGCCCTCCCCACAGCCAGGGCAGCAGGGAGGGTGAGCCGGGGGAGTGCCCCAGCTGGGGCCTGCCTGGGCCATGCTCCTCTCTAATTCTCTGCCCTCTCCTTCTCTATAGGGCTGAACCCATCAGAGCCACTGTCTTCCAGTACCCAGTGGGCTGGCCACCAGTCCAGGAGCTGCCTCCATCTCTGCGGGCACCCCCACCCGGGGGGTGGCCCCTGCAGCCCAACGTGCAGTGGGGCTGAGTCCCTTGTCCCCACCCAGCCCCTGCCGGGTCAGTTCCTACTTCAGTCACAATAAAGGGTTCATATGGGAGCGCTGAGGCCCCCTCCTGCTGTGCCCCATGGAGTCTCGGAAGCTGCTAGCTCAGCCTGGCCTGGCCTTGCTGAGGCCTGGGAGTTCTCCCACCAGGCGCAGCCCTGGTCCTGGCTCTGCCGGTCAGCTCCACCCTCCCTCCATCATGGGACATCTTGAGAAGACGGGTGAGAAAACTAGCTTTTGGATGTTTATAAAGAAAGTCTGTCACTATGGTGATATGGCTACGCTTCCCCCTGGCCGGGTGACCTCAGCTCAGTGCTCTGGCCCCTGGTCAGAGGCTGGGCAGGACTGCAGTGATACGAGGTCTTCTTCAGGGTGACGGTGCTTGCTGCTCTTCTCCCTTGGGAGCTGGGAGACAGCGGCCACTGTGGCTGTGACCACCACCCATTTGAGAAGTGGCTCCAGATCTGGGGAGAGGGGCTCAAGGACTTGGTCTGCCATCCCCAGTCCCCACGTCTGCCCATGCTGAGCTGGCGCCCGCGCGTGAGACGGCACAACTGGGGCAGGGATGGGAGCTGGGTCCCCGGCCTAGTCGGTGAGGAGGAATGGGGGACCCAGGATGACAGATCCTGGGCTTGTGAGATGGCCTGGCTGAGCTTCCTGGCACGGACACAAGCCCCTCCCAGGCTTCTGCCCCGGAGGAGCTGCCTGGCTGGTGGGAAGGTCGCACAGGCTGCTCTGGCAACTGGGAGCCTCCAGACCCGCTGCTTCCTTCCTCATCTCTACTCCAGCTCTAAATTCTGTGCTAGGGTAGTAGTGGACAGTGGGACCCTCAGGCTGTTGGGCCTCTTATGGGGGGACCCAGGAGGTGGGGGCCCTGCAGGTACCTCTGTTGCCCCATCCTCCATGAGCTGCTGTCCTTCCTGAAAATCCTATTGGTAGGGGAACTGAAGCCCCACTGGGGGACCCTTTGAGCCTCAGGCTCTCATCTGTGAACTGGGCTGGTTCTCCGGCCCCAGTGGGGGTGTGGAGGAGGGCTAGATTTGAGTCTAACGGAGGACAGGACCCAGTGGAAGGCCAGGGGCCTTCTCAGTCCATGCCAGGCAGTGGGACCCAGGAGACCCTGGCCTCATCCCCCAGCCCTGCCCAGGAAGAGGCCTTCTGTCCACCTCCACCACCCTGCCCATGGCCCAAATTTCAAGGACCAGGATCAGACTAGCTGTGTGGCTCTGGGCACAGGGTGCCCCTTCTTGCCTAAGGGACCACAGCAGCTACTGGACCCTGTACATATTCCTCCTTAATTTCCCAGGAGCCCCTGGACAATGGGAAGAGTTAGTGCTACATACAGGGCAGGGGTGGGGCAGGGGCAGGGTACAGGCGGGGCTGGGAGCCATCCTCAGAGCCACTGTCAGGCCCTCCACAGCTGGGCCATGGCTCCATGCAAGGGCGGGTGGGGTGGGGTCGCTGGACCTCCAGGCCCCGAAATGCACACAGTGGTGGTGGCCCAGGGTGCAGCTGAAGGAGAGGCCTGCAGGCGGTGGTGGGTGTGGAGGGGCCCCATGCGCCGTGTGCACCGGATGAGGTACCCAGGCGGCGCCTATTTCATGCCGCTGCGCAGCACTTGGTTGGCCGCGATGAGCATGACGCTGATGATGAAGGCGATGGCAAAGGCGCAGATCAGACTCTTGCGCACGCACGTCTGGCGGATCTGCTGGTTGGAGCAGGCTGTGGCCGCCCGCCGGGGAGCACCAGAGAGAGACAGAAAGGGACAGTGGAACGATGGAATCAGGGGCTGCCTGCACTTCTGCACATGGGTTTGTCCCAAGGGGTGCACAGGGATGTGAGGCTTGGGGGGCAGGTGAGGAAGCCCCAGCCCCCCCCATGCCAACCCTTGGTTCCTCCCCTGCTCAAGCAGTTGGCCCACTCGGGGGGTAGATCCCAGGGGTCAGTCACTCACTCTCCACGTCCACGGGGCACTCCTCAGCTGTGCCCAGGTGGCTCTCCTCCTCTGTCATGATAATGTTCTCGATGTCCTTCATGGACAGGTGCTCACAGAAGGTGTCGTAGAGCAGCCGCTTCAGCTCATCCACAGTCAGCTTCTGCATGTCACACTTGGGTGGGAGGAGACACAGTGTTTGGGCCACCACTACCACCACAGTCCCCACCCAGTGCCTGTAGCCACTTGAGCCAGAGACTGGCCTTCAGATTCTGCAGGGCTGGAAACCACTCGTTCCATTTGTCAAGTCCTTGACCTGCTTCCCCCGGGAGCCCATGACCCTATGGGAGACGAGACGTCCGGTGGACAGAAGACTGGAGTGGTCCCCCCTTTCCAGAGTAGGCCCGGCCATTCCCTGGTCCCGGTACCGCCCTCCATGGTGTGCGCAGCCCTGGGTCCCCACCAGCCATGGCTTACCTTCCAAAAGACAGTGTCAAAGTCAGTGCCGTGGAACCTCTCTGGGATCCCTGAGGTGGAGAGCTTGGGTCCCAGGAGGGTCACAAACTCCTCAAAGTCCACTTGGCCATCACCTAGCGTAGACACAGGTCCAGTCAGCAGGGTCAGCCTGCAACTGTCTGACCTCAGGCAGGTCCCCTCCTTTTCTAAGCCCTGTCGCGCTCAGGGGCACCTAAGTTTTAGGGGCTGATGCTAAACCCAAGCGTAGTGAGGCTCCACTGACAGGGTGGAGGTGGAGGGCAGCAGCTGGGCCCGGGGCACGAGGGAGAGCCTCGTGGTTCACTCAGCCCTTCCCGGCTTCCGGGAGCCCTGCTGCTGTCCCGGCATGGGGGTGGGGTCCGACACCCACCTGACTGCGTGGAGCTCAGGGGCGGGGACAGCCTGCCTGGGGCCACCACCTGCTCTCTGAGTAAAGGGGAGGCAGGGCACAGGGGCATGAGAGAAGGGCGCTGGCATTACTGGTCCTTAGGACTTTTTCCATAATAAAATGCCAGGTGGCAAATACAACTAAATTATTTTCCATTTTGAATGGTGAGACCTGTGGTACTTAGTATCTCCTTCTTTCTACTTTCCTGTACTTTAAATTTTTTTCAGAATAGAGCCCAAGATGGGCAGTCTGACCACTGGGTGTGGCTGGGGCCGTCACACTCTGGCCTCAATTCTCCAGATTCTTCAGGCTGAGAAATGGCGCCAGGCCTGGCTGTAAACGGAGGGGGTTGGGGGTGGCTGGTAGTGCAGGGAGTGAGGGTCCCCGGTGGCTCTGGCCCCAGCCCCCCAGGGAAGCGTAAGGACACGGGCAGGGGGCAGCGCTCACCGTCCATGTCCAGTCGCTGGATGATAACTTCCAGCTCTACTTCGTTGGGCATGTAGCCCAGGGAGCGCATGGCTGTGCCCAGCTCCTGCTTGGAGATGAAGCCATTGCCGTCACGGTCAAAGACTTTGAAGGCCTCTCGGATTTCTGTGGGGGGAGCAGAGCAGGTTGAGACTTTACTCTTGTTCCCGACACTCTAGTTCCCAGACCAGCAGGATCCCCAAACCTGCAGCCTGAGCCCAGCATCGAGAATCCACCAGAGCCTGCGGTTCTGGTCAGAGACTGCTGGCTGGTGGCCCAGAAGTGCGCAGTAGCGCTGCTCCCGGGAGCTCGGGGCAGCGCAAGCATCAGTGTGTGCCCGGACCCTCAGCAGGGATGCCACCATCCCCAGGGTCTCAGCCTCGGTGCGCCAGCCTCCCACAGCCTCTCCAGGCATACTCACAACGACCCCGTGTGGCCAGAGCCGTGGATCCCACTGATCAGGGGAGGAAACCAGGCAGCCGGTGGCTTCCCTGCGCACCTCACACGCCTTCCATCTTCACTCTCCCCCATCCCCATCCTGCACTTCCTCCCTGGCCCAGCGGCCCAGGCTCAGCTCCTTAACACTAGCCAGCACCCTAATGACAACCACATGGGGCAGCTGAGTGGGGCTCGCGCTCAGTGCAGACTGCCTGGGGAGCCCAAGGTTTGCGGGAAACGGAGGCCAGATGGAAGGGTCCCAGCCAGCCTAGGCCGACTCAGATGTGGAGGTTGCTCCCCCTACTCCGTTATACAGAGGGGGAGACAGGCCTGAGGGCCTGGAGGACTCGGGTGCAAGGCAGTGCAGTGAGCGGGGAGCCTGGGAATGAGCAACCCAATGAGTGACCTTGGGCGAGCCTCAGGCTCACCCATAGTAAAATGGGCGGTGACGGTGTCAGGACAACAAGGGTTTTGCCAAGGACGTCCAGGGGCTGTTGAGGGTCTTCACCACTCCCAGCTCTTCCTCTGTTTTTCTGCCTGCTCTCCTTTCACTGTTACTCAGCCCAAGAAGGATCCTGAGGAGCATTTTCCTCCGGGGGAGAGTCAATCTCAATCCACTCACGCCCTTGCTGCTCCAGCTCCCTGGAGCCTCCTTGCTCAGCTCACCTGCCAGTCACCTGGCCTTTGTTTAAGCCGCGTCCCTGGGTGGAATGTCAGCGGGCAGAGGCGACCTCAGGGGGGGGTGTGTGTGTGTGTGTGTGCGTGCGCACGTATGAGTGTGCTGTGCACACAGGCATACTTGGGGCAGGGACAAATGAGATACCTTCACGCTGCAGAGCTGAAAAATGAGACCCAGAGAGGCTAAGTGGGCAGCCCAGGGTCAGTGTGGTGTCAGGGCTATTTCTAGTGAGGGCAGGACTTAAGCTGGCCTGAGCCTGGCCTTAGAGGTCTGTGAACCCCTGAAACTGATTGTGTGATTCTGCATCTTGGGGTCATTCCCTGATCCTGCTGGTCCCACTATAGCCCAGAGAGGGGGGCCGTGTGTTCCAGGCTACCCAGCAAGGTAGTTTGGATGGAGGCCCAAACTTCATCAAGTTCTTCCTGCCAAGTGTCTGCACCCAGGGCCTGGAGTTTGGACTAGCTGACGTGCAGACCAGACAGAAACAGTGAGCACAGACCCTCTGACTGTGAACCTGTCCCTTACCCGTCCCAGGCAGGACCCGACAGTCTTCAGGACAGCAGCCGGGGTGGCAGGTGTGTGCCAGGCCCAGGGGTTTCTGTAAAGCCCAGAGTCTGGGAAGTTCAGGAGGTTTCCTGAGCCACCGAGGAGTGGTGAGCTCCCTGTCCGCAGAGGCATGTGAGCAGAGGCCTCACAGTTACGGAGGCTGCTGAGTGGCTTCCAGCCGCTTGGGAGTCTCTGCTAGAGATGAGTGCCCTGGCCATGCAACCAGGCACACTCTCTGTTCCCCGCTGCCCGACACTCACATTCAGGTCTCTGGCTGGCACAGCTGCCTTCCTGGCCCAGGCCCAGGCTCTGCCCCCTTGGGTGTCCTGAACTCCAGCCCTAGGGGCCCTCTCAGTCCTGCGGGCACCGGGACTGCTCCAGCACCAAGCTTTCCAACAGGCGGCCCCTGTTGCCGGAATCCTCTTCCCTCCCCATGGCGCACTCGGATGCACCCGGCTCCGGACGCATCGGCCCTGCCTCCCTGCCTCGTGGCCGACTCTGGCCTGCTCTGGGCCCCCACAGAACCCGTTCTTCCCCCACCCTTGCATGACCACACTGTATTGTGAACTACAGGTGCCACAAGAGCAGGGACAGAGTATGTTCACAGCTGTGTCCCCGTTACCTGGAACAGCGTCTGTCATTCAGGCACAAACATTTGCTGTAAATGGTTAACCGATTTGGGGAACCCCCAACCCCGATCTGAGGCACACAAAGAAAGGAGCTGAGCAGAAGCTGTTGCATCTCGGTGTGAGGTCGTCAGTCAGAGATCTCAGGGTGAGGTGGCAAAACCCTGAAACCCTGGTGGGCCTGCCATGGGCGCTGGCCCTCTCCCCTGCAATGAGCTGGGGTCCAGGCTGTCCTCCCCACAACCCCCGGCAGGGGCCAGGTGTGGCTCCCAGAGCCCAGGGCTGCTTCAGTTGGAGGCCCTGACCCTCTTCTGGAAGCCCTGAGGAAGTGCCCTGGGCTGGACAGGAGACTGGAGGTCAGGAGAATCATGGAGAACGGGGGCAGGTGACAGGCCTGGAGGCAGCCGGCGGGCCCCACAGCCGTTTATCAAGCAGGACCAACTTCCTAAGACCACTAGATAAACCCAAAGACTGCCACCTCTGTGTCCCTGTGTCCCTTCCGCCACCCCTCCCTGGCACACCCCAGCTCACACCTCAGGTTTGCTTCCCTACCTTTGCCCATGTCAAGAGCCCTGCCCCAGCCCCAGCTGACTCCCGAGGCCAAGTTCAGGGACCACCTTCTCAGCCAGAGTCAACTCTAAGTCACACAGACTCATCTCTCCTACGTCCTGGCTGGGTGGCCTCGCTGGTGTTTGCTCACCTGCACAATGGGGCTGCGGGGATGACTAAATATGAAAATCAAGCGTGTAAGTGCTTGCTGGTGCCGGGCTTGGCTCAGAACAAGACACTGCAAATCAGAACATCAGACAGCAGTGCCGGAAGGAGAGGGCGGACTGCGTGAGCTCTGGACGCCAGACCCTTCCTGTTGGCTGGTGCCAGGACCTGGGGGCCTGGGCTTGAAGTTGAGCTCAGTGGCTCAGCAGCTGACTGACCTGGGCAAGGCAGTTCCCTCTCTGAGCCTCAAGTGCTTCATCTGTGAAATGGGAACGTGACTCTTACTCCATCGTGGAGGCCTGGACCTGCTGGGGACTCCCAAGTGTCAGGGGGGTGTCACAACTTCCCTGTTGGTGCTGCTGCCATCAGCGTATCCCAGCTGGGTGCATTTCCCCGAAAGCCTTGCTCTGTCCCTGCAGCGTGAGGCGGAGGAAGCCTGCTCTGCTCCATCTTGGCATGGGGACTCTTGGCCCGGGAAAGGGCTGGCAGGGCCTCTGGGTTTCCAGGCCCACACTGTCCTGCACCTACTGCCTCTTGCCTGACATCCCTAATCCCCTCCTCTGGGCCTGTGAAGCTGTTGGAGCCTGAGTCCCCAACAGGCTCCAAGGGACACCCGCACTCTGTCAGAGAGTTGGAGTGCAGAGGGGGCACATGGGCTGGAGGTCACTGCGGGGGTGGGGCCGTGTCTGTCCTCTGCAGTGACTGGCACTCTCCGAGACGTTGGCCCTGCGCCCCATCACTTAAGCCGCCCTGAGTTTCTGGCCTGCGCAGAGGCAGCCGCTGGGCTTGCAGGAAAGAGGGGCAGGAACAGGGAGGGCTCTCCTGCCCCCCATTCTCCAAATGCCCCTATTTGGCCACTCTCAATGCAGGCTCCGCTGTCCCAATGAGCAGGCCAAGTGCCAGCCTCAGAACCCTGCCCTGATGGCTGCCTGCCTGTTTCCCTCCTCCTCTGGCCAGAGGGGATGGAACTGCGGCTTGCAGGTGCCCCATTCTCACCCTCAGGTGCTCAACTCCCATGAGGCTGTGGGGCCGGGCTAGTGCTCCTGCAGGCCTGGGGCTCTCTGCTGTGTGTGAATGTCGGGGAGGAGTTGCAAGGAGGATCTTGCAGAGCCTCTCACGGGGGACAGGTGGTCCCAGGCCAGCTCTCCCCAGCCACATCTACTCTGCCAACCGTCGTCCATGGTGCCCCAGGCCCAGGGTCCCAGGTGCCTCCACCAGACAGACCTCCAAGGCCCCTTCCACCCAGCCCCTCCCCCAGCCTGCCTCTCTGGTCAGGCCCCTGCACACCCTGCATCCCTGCTTCTTGAGCCTTCACCGATCCCTCTATACTCCAGACTCCAGTCCCTGCAGGGTCCCTCCTTGGCCTTCCCCCTGCTGCGTCTGTCCAGCCCCCACTGCGTGTTGGTCCCCGCACCGAACACTTCCATCACACCCACTGTCGCCAGCAGCCCTGGGGAGGGGCAATGCCAGCCCCCTTTTACAGACGGAGAAACCAGGGCAAGAGAGGCAAGCGATGGCTTGATGTCCCTCACTGAGAAGGGGGTGCAAAGACGCGGAGCCGGTGCTGCCTGGCTGGGAAGCCCCAGTCCGAACCCTGGGCTCTCCACCTCCCTTTCCCGTCCTCCTCCCCCTTGGACTAACCGCCCCCTGGATTTCTGCAGCAGGCACGTACTGTCTGCAGCATTTCATCCCAAGCTGCCAGGCTCCCTCTTCTCGGCACATGTGGCTCTCCCACCGATGGGCAGCCTCCCAGGAAAGGGCCTGGGTGTTACCCAGACTGCCCTGGGGCAGAGCAGTAATGGAGCACTGGGGAGGTGGTGAAGCGGGCAGAGGGGGAATCTGTGCCAGGAATGGTCACCCTGTCCACACAGCCCAGTATCCAGGGATCACTGGGCCCTGCAGAACTTGGTCTCCTAGAAGGAGGGCTTTCAGGATGCCTGCAGCCAAGAAAGGGGTCTGTCACAGAGGCCGTCTTGCCCTCCTCTGTAGCTGCCCGTGGGTCAGGAGATGGGCTGGGGCCACCCAGGCTTCTGCTTGCTCCACACCCCTGCCTGCTAACACCAAGGAGGGCCTTGCCCTTCAGATGCCCCCTGTGCCAGGCCCCTCTGCTCCTCGGGGCCCAGCAGAAGAGGACGGAGCGAAACAGGGAGTGCATTTGGTGTGGCTGGTGACTAACGCTCCTGGGCTCCTGCCAGCGTGTCCTCCGGGCGGCCCAAGGGGAGGCTGCGGCCTCCTGCCCCTGCACTGCCCGCCCTGTGCCCCACTCACCCCCGCATCTTAGGCTCCTCTCGGCTGCTCCCCTTCAGGGCTGGGAGATTGGGAGAAGTGGGACCCCGTGAGCCCCGAAGCAGGGCTGCCAGCGTCATGGTGGGGTGCTGGGAGCAAGGGGAGAGACTGAGGTAGAACTGCCTGGGGTGTGGGGGGACAACGTGAACCCCTGCTTCAGAAGCCGGGAGGAAGGAGTGGATGAGAACCTGCAGAAGGGGGCGCCGGCAGGAGGCTTCGGGGGTCCAGAGCAGGAGGAGACCTCAGGGAAGAGACCGTCTATGCCCCATCCCCTGCCCTCTTGCCCCTCATCACACTCCCTCCTTGTCCCAGGCCCTGGGTGAGGCCCTGGTCCTTGGACTTCGGCCCAGACAGGGGAGAAATTTGGGTTTTGGGGTTCAAGACCAAAGACCCCACAGCAGCACCCATCCATCGATCCTGCCTACATCAGACACCAGAACCCATTTCCACGGCTCTCTTGGCCCCTGGGAGCTGTTGGGGGGACTTGGTGAGGAGCAGGTGGCTCATAGCATGTGGTGCAGTTGGGGGGATGGGAGCTGCCTGCTCCCTCTGGTCTCCCCCTAAGCCCAGTCTGACTGCCCCAAGACCTGCCCCGACCAGGGCCTGGGGATAACGCAGGTCCTCTCTCCACGCCTCCCTCTGTGCTCCCATCATCATGCCTGACTGCGCTGCTGTCTCAGCTGCAACCCTCCCCTAGGCTCTGATGAGCCCCGGATCTCAGGGACCCGGGGCCCAAGTAACCCAAATGAGGCCCAGCCTCTGGGTAATCTCAGCCCCTCCCCCAACACCGCACAAGGAGCCCCCCGGGCCAAGACGCCCATCAACCTGCCCCCCCACACACACCCTTCACGCCATATGGGGCCCCAGGAGGTCTGGGGTCAGGGGAAGCCTGAGCACCTGCCTCCATCCCAGTAAGGAAAGAGCTCCCAGGCCCCAGGGGTCTCACTGCTCCCGGGAAGCCTCCTTCCAGGGACCACAGCCCCTGCCCTCTGCTCCTGTCTCACCTAGATCACTGCCTAAAGTCCCCGTTGATGTCCAGGGACAGAGGGATAGGGGGATGTCTCTCTGCCTTTCCTTTTCCTTGGTTATCACGACCAAGCCGCTGAACCTGGCCACTTGTTGTCGCCACCACCTCCCGGGCCGCCTTCCCCGAGCTCTGGGCTGGGGGTCCCCGCAGGGCCGTGCGGAGGAAGCTAGGGCCGCAGGAGGGGCTAGGGGGCAGCCCCGCAGTCGGCAAGGAGGGCAGTCGCCCTCTCCCCTTCTCCAGCTGCCCGAGCAGATTGGATTTTAAAAGCTACACGAGTGGAATGTCAATGCGAGCGCAGAGCCGCGGGCTGGCGCCGCGGAGGGGACCAGGACGCGGGTGTTCCGGATGGGCTGGCGCTGGGGCGCAGCTCGGACCCCTACCCCAACCTGTCGCGTTGCTGCACCGTCACCGCGGACTGCACGGCCCCGTGACCCCGCTGCGGGACCCAGCAAGTTTCCGCAGCGCTGGGGACCACGCGGGCAGGGGTTGCGCCGCCCCTCCGCCTTGGGGACCCTTCACCGCGGCGCCCAGGGGTGCGAGCTGGTCTGGCCTCCATGCGCAGCAGCTCGCTGGAGCGCCCACCTGGCAGCAGGCACCTGCGGACAGCCCCGCGCCCCTCTGCGCCCCTAGCTCGCGCTTCACCTGGGCGCACAGGTAGGAGGGCCAACGGGCGGGGGTCCCGGTGGGGTACTTACCCTCCAGCTCATCCTCGGGGATGTCCACCGGACGCTGCTCCGACAGCAGGTTGGGCACGGTGTAGATGCCCCGGTACATCAACGCCGCCGTCACCGGGTGGAACGGCATTTTGGAGGCTCCGCGCCCGCCCGCCCGCCGCAAACTTTGAGGTCGGGGCTCATGGGCCGGCGGCGGCCCGGGGGGCGGCTGGAGCGGGCGGGGCGCGCAGCTGTGAAGGGCGGCCCGGCGGCGACAGCAGCGACGAGGCGAGGTGCCACCCGTCCGGGGGCCTAGCGCCCCCGCGCCCCAGGCCGCCGGTCCATGCCGCCCCCTCCCTCGTTGGGCTCCCGGCCGGGGCCCCTCAGGGGTGGTGGGGGCGGCGCCACTCGGGCCTCTCTGCTCGGGCCGCTGCGCCCTGCGCCCGCCGCGCCCGCTCCTCGGTGCCCCGCGCGCTCCGCGCTGCTCGCCACCCGCTCGTCCGCTGGCCCGCGCGGCCGCCCCAGCCCGCCGCTCCGGCTCTCGCCGCCTCCCCGGCTCGCTCGCTCGCTCGCTCGCTCTGTGCCGGGCTGGCTGCGCTCCCGCCTCCCCCGCCCGCCGCCTGCCCGCCCGCCCCCTCTGCGCTCCCCGCCCCCCCCCCCCGCCCGCCCCTTCCCGCCGCCGGCCCCTGAGGGGCCGCCCCAAGCCCGCGGGGAGTTCCTGGTCCCCTTGCCCCAGGTGCCCCTTGCTCCCCACCCCATCCGCAGCCACTTGCCCCCGACCTCAGCCACCGGGACCAACGTGGGGTGGGGCCCTTTCTTCTTGCCCCTTGTCCCGCCCCCACACACCTCGAACTAGGAGCAGGGACCGGAGGACCAGACACCCGGCAGCGAGGTGAGGTGGGTCCCAGGCATTTGGGTCCTCGAGGAGGGTCACACAGTATTGGTGCCAGGAGAGGTTCCAAGGTGGGGAAACTGAGGCTGAGACAGAAGGGCATTTACCAAGGTCATGAAGCAGGGGCGGCAGGCAGGAGCTGGTCAGGGTCTAGGTCAGGCTCCCCTGCCCTGTGGCTGAGACCTCTTGGGGACCTCTCTGTCCCCAGTGGAGCCTCAGTCCTTGCTCCTTCCCAAGCCCCCACCCCTTAGCCTGCAGAGGGGGAGCCAGGGTCTGTCTCCTGGCCCCCAGGGCAGCCAGGGACAGAGAGGTAGTGGCTGGGTGTCTGTAGTGACTGGCGTGAAGGCCAGTCTGTCAGTTCACATGGCTGCAGGTAGACCTAATGTGTGTGCAGGGTTCACCCAGGCCCCAGTGCATGTGTGCACATTGGGGTGAAGGGGCAGGTGTTCTTGGGAAGGGCATGTGTGTGTGTGTGTGTGTGTGTGTGTTGTGTATCTGTTATCCACGAGGCTGTGTACAAGTGTTCATAAGTCCACATGCAGATGGACGCGGGTCGAGTGTTTGGACATCTGCATGTGCCAAGATTGTGAGCTGGCAGGGGAGGACAGGGCAGGAGCTGGTTGGGAGAAGCCTGGGCGGGCAGGGGGCTGGGTGCAGACCTAGAGCTGGGAGTGACATGAGCGTGTGTACACAGATGTGAGCACATATTTATAGGGGAGGGGATGACCCTCTGGCCTTGTTGTGGCCCCAGCTGTGGGCCCTGCCCCTGGAGGTCCCATCAGAGCCACATCCCTGCCCACTTTGGTCCAATCAGCCTATGGCCCCAGCAGGAAAGCAGATTGCCACCGCCCTGCCTGATCTGCCCTTCCCAGACTGATTACATTTTCCTGCTTGTTTCTGCTTTTGTTGCTGATTAATCACAGCCCTGTCTTGGGGCCTGGGGAGAGGGGGCTCAGGGAGAGATGCCAGCTCTGGCTGAGCTGGGCCGGGCCGGGCCGGGCCTGGGCCCCAGCGCTTCTCTGGCACAGCTCTGGAAGGGGCTCCCAACAGCTTCCGAAACCTGTGGAGGAGTCAGGAAGGACCCCAGCTATTTGTCTGTCTTCCCAGCCTCGGCAGACTAGTCAGGTGTCTACAGGACCTGTGTCTGGGGATACGAGAGGCCCCAGGAAAGCCCTCCTCATCTCCCTGTTCCCTTGTCTGACCCGCCGTCGGAGCTGAGTGCTTTGAGCTCCCTCAGGTCTTCAGATGGAGCAGGGGAGCGAGGCTGTAAGAATTTAGAGCTCGAGCCAGGTACACCTGAGGCTCTTGCATCTACCACCTCTTTGCTATGGGAACTTAGTCACCTCTCTTAACCTCCTGGGGCCTCAGTTTCCCCCTTGTGAAGTGAGGGTGGCCATGCCACCTCCCAGGCTGCGGTGAGGATGAAGTGATGTGACAGATGAGAGGTGCCTGGCCGTGCCTCCCTGTACCTCTTGGGAATTTCCTATTAGCATGATAATCCCCCTGAGAAATATGAATTAATAATAATTATAGCTGCCATGTATTGATTGAGAATGTGAGCTGCAGCAGCTCACTCCCGCAGCGTTTGCCAAGTGGCCAGGCTGCACCAGCCCAGGCCAGCAGGTTTGAAATCAGGAGTTCTGCACCGAGGGAGGGTGGGCTGGAGCCTGTGCGGGGCTAGTGGGAAACGCAGCTCTCGGTGACTTCCCGAGAGGCTGTGCAGACCGTGTTAGTGCTCCACTTGCCTGACAGAGGGGCACCTCCTGCTGTGTCCCCTGTGGCTCCAGCCTTGCTGCCAAGGTGGAGAATTTTCAAAGGATGGTGTAGAAACAGTCCCCGAGGTAAATCGAATAAAAACCAAGTGGGTGGGCCTACTTCACATAACCAGGCCCTGCAGGTCTGAACCGGCCTCCTCCAGACCCCAGCCTTGGTCTGTGGCCCAGGGGTCGGGCTGTCTACCTTGTGACCAGACCCAAGGGACAGGGCTTGCTGGGGATTATAGTCCCAAAGCTGTAGGGCACCGCACTGCTCGGTCCATCCCTGAAGCCCCAGTCCCCTGGTCACTCAGGCCAGTCCCTGTCCTCTCCCCTGGTGCAAAGCCAAGGCCCACAGAGCTGGCCATGGGCCCAGGGGTCGTTCACATGCCACCAGCTACATGTGCTCCCTTCTCTCTGGTGGCTATATGAGCTGTACCTGGCTGTGCAGGTGACCTGCTAAGTCCCCTGAACTTCTGAAGGTAGCTTAGCCTTGCTCCCATTCATGTACGGGGCCACTGAAGGGACCAGGTTGTGTCATGCAACCGTATGAGGCAGAGCCAGGGGCTCAAGCCCAACGCGGGAGCAAGGGGGCTGGGGGCCAGGGCTCTAGGGCCCAGGCCCTGAGCCATGCTGACCTCTCCCTGCCTTTCAGGCTCAGAGGGACACTGGGTCCTCTGGAACCCGTTGTTAACCTCCTGTTCCCCTACTTCTGTGCACCCAGGTACCAGGTCTTTTGAGCGAGCCAGGATGAGAGTGAAGGGATGAAGGGGAGCTGCTCCCACCTGGGGCTCACACAGCAAGTGCCGGGAGGGCTGGGCAGCATGGCTGAGGCCGCAGAGCGCTGTCTGTTGAAGGGCAGCAGAGATGGGGGCGGGAGTGGTTTTTATGGAGGAAGGACATGAAGACAGAGCTTGAAAAGTCTCTGACATGGGGAGGGAGAGGCAGTGCCCGGAGTAGTAAGAGCTCTGCCTGGAAAACCCAGAGCTGGCTGTGCAGCCTGGGGTGTCTGCATTCACCCTTCCGAGGCTCAGCTTACCTGTTAAATAGGAACACATCTAACCCCAGTGTGAACACTTAGATCCTACCTCTGAGTGCTCAGTGCACAGAAACGGTGGTTCTCACTGCGGGTCATGGGAACTCCAGGAGGAAGAGCCGGGTGAGCAGAAGCTCCAAAGCGTGAGAGGACCACCCTCAGCCCCAGGGTGGCATCCCCCAGATCCTGTACCTGGCACAAGGCTGGGCTGGGCTCGGGAAGAGATCCGGGGCTGGATGAGCATCTTAATGAATGAATGAGACAATGAATGAATGAAAGAACGAGCGATCGCCTACCAGCCCTTCGGCACTGCAGCCCCGTCCTCTTCTCTGCACGTCGCTGGGGAGCAGATGGCGTGATTGCAGGGTGTGAATTATGTCTGTCGCTCCCCCATCTGGGGAAGGTGCTGCTGCCATCACACTGCACTCCCTGGGGTGTCACCGGGACACTTGTGGGCCCCTCCCGAGAAGGGTGTCCACAGGCCTCACCCACTAGTACCTGGCTCAGGGTGCTGGAGACACCAGAAGAGGAAACCCACCTGTGACTCTGGGAGAATCCACCAAGTGGCAGGGAGGTAGGAAAAAAGAAGTGGGGACCACTCCATCCAGACTCTGGATCCCTCCCTCCCAGAGACGGGAGCTCCCTCCTGTCAAAACCAGCGTGCTCCCTGCTCTCCCTGGCCAGGAGGCTGCTCCTCCCAGGCCGGCATTCGCACGCCACTACTGTTCAGCACCAGGGAGAGCGCCTGGCAGAGCCCAGGGCCCTGCAGAGCAGGGTGAATTTATTGGGGGACGCAAGCCCCGATAAGGCAACAAATGAACCCGTTGTCCAGAGGAGGAAATCAAAGTGGAGGGAGGGAAGCACCAAGCCCTAGGTCATGTCCGGACTGCTGACTGCAGCCCTGCCTGAACTGGGGGGTTGCTGGGGGTGGCAGGAAGTAAATGGGGTGGGGAAGGGGTGTCCAGGGAGGGCAGAGGTTCTGGCCTCTGCTCCTCAGCTAGGGAGCAATATTGTTCCAAGAACCCGCTGGGTATAGACTCTGGAGGTGAATAAAATATTCATTGGCTGGGCAAACTCACACAGTCAATTGATGAATAATGGAATTTATAGGCTTGCAGAGGCAGACCTAGCTGAAAGGGGGTGTAGGCCCAACCCCAGAGGCCTATGTCTGCTCTGATCTCGTCCTGCCCTGGGACCCCTCCTGGGCCTTTAGATGCCCAGCGTCCACAGGTGACAGGAGTAGACAGGACAGAGCAGGCGACAGGATCCATGAGAAGCAACTGGGACAAAGGGGACAGGTCCTTGAATTTGGTGCTCTTTGAGAAGCAACTTGGTGATGGAGAAAGAGCGCTGGGCTCAGAGTCCAGTGTGGCTGGGATGAACCCTGCCTTCTGTCACCAGCTGTGTGGCCTGAGTGTGGCACCTGTCCTGCCTCAGTTTCCTCCCCTGTACAATGGGGTTGATGCTGC